AGTATGAAGATTTCTGTCTTCTGAGTTGTTGCTCTGTGTAGTCTAGTAGATGAATCGCCCTGATGACGGAGGCAGTATGACCTCCGAAACGTTGGTTGACATCGACCAGACTACACAGCGCAACAACCCAGAAGACGGAAATCTTCAAGTTCGAAAATCTTCAACCTTTTACACAGCAAAATAATGGAGCATTTAAGCTAAATTACAATATCAGCAGTCAAATCTCCAATGTTCGTATCTGAAACCAATTGATTGCTCACGTGCAGTTTACTCATCGCCCTAATGATGGAGGCAGTAAGCACCACTGAAAAGTCGGAAAACTTCTAAGAGACTACACGGTGCAACATCCAAAAAGACAGTAATTTTCAAGACAGACTCTAATTACATTTGATAGTGTAAATCTACAGTAAACGTTAATGGGCGAATATGATTTTGAAACATAACGGTCAGTTATAACCCCAACTTTAAATTAAGTCCAAATATAAATTTGTCATTTTTTTAAACGACTCGTCGGACAAGAATTAATATAACCACACAATAAATACGTCGTTACACATACAACTTTTATTTTTTAAAGTTTATTGTAAATATTTAATTAAACACAATGGCTGTAATTTTTGTAGTGGGATTAGCTTTGAAACAGAATACTGTTGCACAACTCGCTTCTATTAATGGAATCAAAAACAATTCAGGGTCGAAAAGACTGTCATGTGTTGAATTCATTCAGCTAATGAGTAACAATATAGCGTACGCTTAAAAAATAATGCTCATTAGTTAGCAGCTAAGGGCATGCACTGCGTAACAGCTTAAAGTAATTACAAAAAATATACAGTGACAAATTACAAGAAGCAAAGAAGTTCTGACCTTCCAAAAGTGTTCACAAAGAACGACGTTTACAAGCGTAACTGAATATACAGATAATATATTAAAACGAATGCAGTCGAAACTGGTTGTAAATATGTGAACTTTCTCAGAGTATGTTCCTACAGCAAGCTCATGACATCAAAGAAATGAAGTACTAAAGCTTCTGCTAATCTGAATAAGTATGATCTGCACATTAATTAACCTATTTATTTATTTATGGCTTATTTAACGACGCTTTCAGTAGTTCTGACTGTAGAGTCAAATGATAGTATGACTAATATATAATTAACTGGAAATCATATAGAAAGAAGCGGTAGTGACCTACTTTAAGCTACTATCCCGGCTTTTACCTGAAGGGACTGAGGATAACTAATGCTTAAACTCAGAAATTAATATAACGCCGTAAAATTGCAGAATAAGTAATCTAACCACCATGAAAGCAGCATTCATGCATATACAGGCTTCTTGGTGTAAATGTCCTTCCTCTATGTTTGCATGAAGAAGCCCAGACGTGCCTTCGCTCAGACGTTACTGAACCACAGTGAACTGATAGCAGGATACGTAGCGTGGTTTTCTCGTCAGTTGCATTCCAGACATTCAGCACGCAGATTAAAAGCCGCGGTACAAAATGGTTGCCCTTCCTCGACATACAATCATACACAGCCTGGACTTCATCTTAATCACTACACATTATAAATACTGGCGCCATTGACAATTTTTATATCAGGAATACATAGTAATAAATAAACGTTGATTTCCATAACTAATTCAAAATAAAATTTCCATGAAACACTTTTCCTTTTTACCGAATTCAGTGCGTCTGTCCGTCCATCAGTCATCACTAAACAACATACAAGAATATTCACCACAATCTTAATTAACCACGCAGGATTTGAATTATCTGCCTGTTCTTAAACCTTCTAGTTACATTTGGTCTCTCCATCTTTTCTTCAGGCTCCCAATAGTATGATATTCATGTATTCATTGTATGTGGCAAGACTAGTAAGAGCTACAAAATAATAAATGTAAAATGTAATGATCCATTCTGTGCGCAGTTTCAAACAGCACAAACTCAATATTGATAAAATTTGGGAAATTGGTGTTGGTCGTGGAATGTGAATTGACAAAGACGTCCACGTAGACCAGTTCAATAAAATCGCGTTCAAGAGTTCTCTAATTGAAACAAACAATATAACACGAACATCTGATATGCATTTACCAATACAGAAATATTTTGAACAAGACCTGCTTGTTTCACGTCATAAAGAATATCGTGTCTCGGAGTAATGACAATTTAGTTCTTTATTTCGCTTCTAGTAAAAGTTATTATTCAACTAGCGTAGTATGTAAAAGTAAAGTTTGTCCCACTATACGCCATGTAGGCGTTTGGGGTGAGTGGAGGTATAGCTCCTCTCTTCCTTGACCTCGGCACTAG